CTTCATCGCCTCCAGCAAGCAGAGTCTGGACGAGTACAAGAGGCTCATGTCGGTAGGGACGAGCCCTCGACGTCGCCGGCCGCGGCCAGGCGTCCCCCTGCTTTGCCCTTCTCTCTTAGTCTTGTTCATCTTCTTCCTGCGCCAGCAGGGCTGGTATTCCCAGTGCGGAAGAGCCTCGGGTATTTAAATGACCCGTTCCTCCCCACCTGGGAAATGGTCAGGGGCCTGAGGTGTGATTCGAGGACAGCCTCAACGGCTGTCCTAAAGCCAGGCCGTAAGGGTGCCAAGTGTCCTCGTCAGGGAGGAAGGTGAGGCCAAGGAGCAGGAATCACTGGCTGGATGAGCTTGGCCATACATACATCAGCCAGGGACCCCTCAACTGAAGCTGAGGTTGGTACACCTGGAGAAGCCATCTCAGAGCTGTCCCTGCGGACGAGCTACGTGCTTTGACGTTACATGTCCTCTGCTAACGAGTCCCTCACGCTGCAGAGGTCTGCAGAGGTGAAGGAACCTCAGGGCCTGTGGTCAGTGATGTGGAAGAGCTGGGCAGGGATTCAGCTTTTGCTGCTAGCCATTCCTCTGCCGCATGTGAGCTACGTGAACCCGCTCCAGTGCCCTGACCTGCTCGGCTGTCGCTGCCATTTGATTTCAAAGGGCTGCAGCACATACAGGCTCCAGGACAGCCAATTCTTCAGTTCAGTCCGTGAGCTGTTGCGCTGCCAATGAAATAGTTTGTTTGGAAATATCAGCCCCCCTGTTAATGCTCACTGTCCTCTTGGTGCACGTGATACTGGATGGGCACAGTATCCTTACTCTAACCCTCTATGGTTAGAGTCCCTAGGTTTAACTTACCCCACTTGAGCTTTGCAAAATGAAACCCGACCGTGGATTTTTTCCAGCTCCGCAGACAGCTGATATCGGAATATGAGACAGTGATCCCTTAAAAACGCTAGAGACCTTCCTGTGATATTCACCGTGCTCTCTGTTTTGGGGCTTGCCTTGGAGCAGCTCAGAGCAGCAGTGCACTGCAGCAAAGCATGGAAGTTCATGCAAGGTTATCTGGGAGCTAAGTGTGTCCTGCGGCTCTCTTCCTCATCCACCAGCATGTGACGATCCAAAGCTTTTGTTGCCTGTTGAATTCCCCGTTCTCTCATTTGGTTCGCAGCTCGGGAAGGTCTACGGCGTGGAGTCCTACGTCCTGTCTCCCTCGGAGACCAAGGACCTGTACCCGCTGATGAACGTGGATGACCTGTATGGCACGCTATATGTCCCTAAGGATGGCACCATGGATCCTGCTGGCACCTGCTCAACTCTTGCCAGAGCAGCAACCGCCAGAGGCGCTGCGGTAATTACTAATTTATGCCAAGTGACGCTGGGAGGAGCTATCATCCCCTGCCTTCCCCTGCTCCCAGCTCCTCCTTTCACACTGGAACAGAGCTGCTCTTGCAGTGTTTCCAAGTCAGCCCGTTTGCCTGAGAACGGGGTTGTCCTAATTGGCTTTGGTGGCTCTTGTAGCCACAGCAGCAACGCTAGCAAGATGCTGGTGTTGTGCTGGAACTGTGAGGTCTAGGGAAATTATAGGCAGGAAAAAAGGCCTTTGGGAGCAAGATGAGGCAGAGCCCAGGGACTATCAGCCCATCCTTCATGTATTGCTTAGCTCATATGCAGGGCATGCAAATAATAAACATCCTCTGCAATTACAGGTGCTTAGGGTAACTGGTAGCAGCAGATTAATCCCAAGATTAGTGAGAATGTTATTATCTAGCAGAAAAAGTGATAAGTATTTACAAGCAAAGGAAGGTGGCCAGTGTCAGACCTCTGCTTATATTCACCTTTCCCAGCATGGAGAGTTTTTGGGGCCAGATGTCAGGAGAGCTGGATTATCCCGCTAATGTTTCAAACCTGCCGTGACTGTTTCTCATTATCTACCACCAGATTATAGAGAATTGCCCAGTGACTGGCATCCAGGTCAAAGTTGATGATTTGGGTGTGAAGAGGGTGTCTGCGGTGGAGACACCCTATGGGACTATACAGACTCCTTGCGTGGTGAACTGTGCAGGTATGGGGCAAAAAGCAATATGGGTGTTGGACCTGTCCTGCCGGGGCTAGCAGCCTGTTCACCACGGCCAGGCTGCAATGAAGGATATGGTTTTGCCTTGCAAGAGCCAGAGGGTCTTGTTCAATCTTTGTTTCCACGCTTCTGGCTGTAGACCTCCTCTCCCCACCCCCCCAAAAAAAACAACCTTAGGTCTCCTGCCGTGGACACTCATGTGGGCTGTAGTTGCTCACTGCAAGGTGGGTTTTCTCTCCAATAGGTGTGTGGGCCCGAGCCCTGGGCCAGATGGCTGGCGTTCACGTGCCGCTGGTTGCGATGCATCACGCCTATGTGGTGACGGAGCGCATCGAGGGCATTCAGGTCAGTCCAGCGCTGTGCTGCAGTGCGGTGGCTTTGCTGGCAGCCCTGGGCACATGGGATTGGGGCTTCTCCAGTTCCTTTGCACATGTGAGTGCAAATCAGAGCAGTTGTGAATGTCAGTTCGCCCAAAAGGCAGCTTGCGTGTGCAGGATTGCCCCAAACAAGTTTCACACTAAGAGCCAGCTGGGTATTTAACTCGCTGGTCCCTGCTTGGGTCAGGATAATGAGTGTTCCTGTCCCCAGCCTCTCGTCTGCACAGGCCGCAGCCACCCCTGAAACGGAAAGGGATGTGTTGTATCCTCTCTGAATCATTACTGGCTGCAGCATTTCCAAACCTGATGCTGCTGGGTTTATGCCTGAGCTCCCAGCTAGATACCTCTCTGGCAACACGAGCACAGTGACAAAAAGTGGACGTTTCCAGTGGCTCCTCACAACCTGAGTGTGGGATTCATAATGGCTGGAGGGCAGTGCTGCCGTTCCCCAGCGTGGGGCAGGAGACAGGACGGAGCACCCTGGCACGCTCAGACTGCGAGAACTCCCCACCCTGCTGCCTTCGGGGCAAACCTGTACCCCTGGGCCAAGCTCTGCAGGCACAAACTGAGTGAGGCACTCAGTGCTGAGTGTGATTTTCTGCCTGAAAGGCTGAATTGGAGCCCAGATGTTGATGCACCATTCAGTTACTTAGCAGCAATAGCAGTGCCACTGCTATGGACGCTTACCTAGGGCTCCTCAGTGCAGATCTCCGAGAACTTACAGGCCCATGTTTTACAGGGGAGAAATGAGAGCCCAGGGGAGACCCAGGACAGAGCTCAGGTCTCTGAAGCTCGAGTCGGTGTTACGGCCACCTGGCTACACAGCTTCTCCTCGTAGTGAACGCACAGGAGTACCTGATTACCTTAATGGAGTCATTTTTAATATTTAGCAATGTTTTGATTAGCAGGATAATTTTTCTTCATCTTTTTTCCCTCTGTAGGATTATTGTAGGGTCTCTGATGTACTTTGTGTGTTTGCTAACAGCATTCATAAAGATGCCAAACACTTTCTGAACAAGTCCCAGTCACCAATAGGAAGAGGTACAGCTCTCCAAGCATTGCTAAACCATCCCAAGAAATCTGCTCCTGCCTTCTGGCTACAGAGATTTGTTTGTGAATCAAAGCAGACTTCATTCACACAGGCTCTATGGACTTTGAGGGTAACATGCTGGTTAGTTCCCATCCCACTGAAACAGTCTGTGTCTGCGTTTTCAGTCCTAGATACCTCATTTTAAGAAAATACTGGTAGCAATGATTATATTCTAGTAACTCCAGTGCGCTGTACAAACACAGCGCAAAAGAGACTTTTCACAGAAGACGCTGTAGCTTGCAAACCCCGATGCCTCTTGTTTAATCCATTTAAGTTTGTTTGTCAACATGAAATACAGTCAGCCCTATAACAGTACTGTTCACGTTACCTAAATGTTTGTCAATCCATTATTGAAGAGAACAAATCTCTCATTCTTTGCACGCTGCTGCCTGAGCTGTTTCGCTCTTGTATCTTCCTGTGTAGGAGGGTAGGAGAGAAATGATTCTTCCTTTAGTGTGGGTCGAAACACAGCAGGGGCTCACTTTCATCAGAGCAGTTTCGGCCCCTTGCTTGTGGTAGAGGAGCACCCGGAAAGGCAAGGCTGTGTTGCCCTGGCATCTCTGCACCCATTCCCACTAACTTGGTGCTCATCTAGGCGTTTCTGGAGTTGGCTAGCTGTTAACTAGGCAGGGTTTGTATGAGATTTTGGCTTCTGAGTTGTACGTCTGAATTCAGGCCTTGTGAATACTGCTTGCTCCCCGCAGCCCATGACAGAAGTAGGCTCCCAGCAGCTCCCAGGCGTGTGCTGTGGTGCGTATTCGGGTCTGTGCAGCACCTGGGTCGTGTCAGCACCTCCTGCTCTGCATCAGGCCCAGGGCTGGTGCACGCAGCTGATGTACAGGGAGTAGGCTCAGCCCATACAATCATTGCAGCCTCTCCTTTCCCCACAAGTTACGAAAGCCACTTTGCTGCTGGCGGTTTGATTGGGTTTGCTGGAGCTGAACTGGATGTCCCCGTCTGCAGGCGACATGGGGAGCAAGGAGGGGATTTGGGGGCTGTGAGAGCCTCAGCAGAGCCACTGCTGATGCTATGGATACACTGGGAGCATGGGCAGCAAGGAAAACATACTGGTATTTGAGCACCAACTCTACCAGCTTGGCCTGGCTGATGGGACAGTGGCCACCTTGCTGGCACAGCCGAAGGGCAGGAGCTTCGGGGCTGCGGCTCCTGGCCCCTCCTGTCCTGTCTCGTCCCTCCTGCCCTGTCTCACCCCTCTGCTTTCCCTCCCTATTTTTAGAACATGCCAAACGTTCGAGATCACGACGCCTCAGTGTATCTCCGTCTCCAAGGCGATGCCCTTTCCGTGGGTGGATATGAGTCAAATCCAATATTCTGGGAGGAGGTGAGTGATGCCGAGAGGATTTTTTTAAGAGGAAATGAGGCATGTTACCAGGAAACCCACTTTGATGGAGTGGGTGCTGAAGTGAGCTCCTCACCTCCTGGCTCATGTGCCGGAAAATGCAGAACAGCACCTGCTAATATCCAGCCTCCACGAGGCCCAGGAGGTGGTGAGTGGTGAGGAGAAAGCACAAGAGCATCTTCCACTTGGGTCTGTCGAAGGGGTAGATACAGGATGCACCACTAGCAAAAATGAGATGAGAAAGCTGGCCTGGCCCTGGCGGAGGTTTAGGAGGTTACTAGGCAATTCCCTGCCCTGCCACAGGCTGTTCATCAAGTCACTGAGGAGGTGTCTTTCTTTGGGCTCTTTTCCCAGCCCTTTTGCCGAGTTTGGTGCTGCATCCCTCCTGGAGGGCTGGGCCAATCTGTCCCCAGGTGGCTTCCAAAGATGTACCACAGAGCCAGGGTTTCTCTCTCCATCTGAGGGAGAAGGTCCTCCAGTTTCCCAGAAAACACAGCAGGAGTTTGAGATGTCCATGCCCGCAGTCACTTGCCTGCACAGGACAGGACATTGTGCTCACGTTCTGTTCTGGGAAGGTGAAGTGCTGGTGATCTGGGATGTGCAAGGGTCTTTGCTCTGGAGTGTCCTCAGTGTCCTTTGGTGGGGCTCTGGTTGGCTTCATACCTTGATACTTGTCTAGGTGGCTCATAAAGACCCAAAGAAACCAGAATCTCAAAACCAGCCTCTGCTTTCCATGGGCTCAGAGACTGCCAAAGTTGAGAACTTCTTAAACCATAAGCCAGACTCTCCTTTTGTGTCCTGATTCCTGTTTCTCACCTTCAGGTATCTGAAAAATTTGCTTTTGGTCTCTTTGATCTGGACTGGGATGTTTTCATGCAACACATTGAAGGTGCTGTCAACAGAGTCCCAGTGCTGGAGAAAACGGGAATTAAATCCACCGTGTGTGGGCCAGGTAATATTTCAGTAGTTGTGTCATGGCAGCCATGTTCCTTGCAAGATTTTTTTTTGGAGCTGCGCTGACCCCTTACCTCCGCTTTAGAACTTTAAGTCTTGGCAGGTACGGTATTGGCATAGGAGATCGTGCCCTGACCAAAAAGCAGAGAAGGCATTAGTATGGGCTGAGCTTGAGATTTAGGAGTTGAAAATGGCTCTCCAGGTCACTGTGTGCCACGACCACGGTGCGCATTGGCTGGCTGCTCCAGGCCTTCCTTCAGGCACCAGCTCGTGCCCCTGTGGCCCCACTTATTCCTTGTTTATACCTTGCTGTGTGGCCACGGGATGCTAGGACTGGAGTGGAAATGATTCGTTTGATGTGCTCAAAGATAGGAGAGAATTTGGCACGTCCTGTGAACCACTCTGCTTCAAGCAGCTTGTGGGAATGTTAATTAGAGCCAATATTGACTTAACTGACCTGCTTTGGCACTGACAAGCCTGGCAGAGCTGTCTCTCTCTCCTGGCACAGTGGCTGTTTTGATTCTTGCACATGTCTGCTTTGGAAAGACTGCAGATCTGGTGCAATGATTGGTGAGTTTGTCATTTTTGGGGGCGGAAGGGAAGCAGGGGTGGGTAGATTGGCTCTACCGAACCTCAGAATTTATACAGCTTGTTATTTTCCTGTTGTGCATCGTCTTGCTCTGATATAGCCTCTCATGTGCCAGACAGCCCTTGGTGTTAGGGAGCTTGCAGATCCCATCCCCTTCAGCAATGAGATCTTGCTGTCCTGTGTTCCCACTGCGAGAGTGCTCGAACGAGTGGTGGGTGCTGGCCCTGGGCACGGGGGGTGCAGCGTCTCTGAAGCCCACTGAGGCCAGGCAGGTGAAAAGGCACAGGCTGGGAAGCTTCAGGGTGATGCCCCATCCTCCGCTGCACTATATCTGCAGAAAACTTCATAATCCCCGGGAGACATAAACACACTGAACACAGAGAAACTTTTCTGTTTAGCTGCAATAGTGCTGTCTTCCTAGAGGTGGCATCCCAAGCTTAGCATAGGTAGAAAAATAGTTGGAGGGGAATATTGCCTGTTAGTGCCTTTCTTGGTCCAGACTGAGGGGATTTTTAGCAGAGATTCACAGAAAAACAAACACATTTGCAGCTGATGATGTTGCCACTGGACTGGAGAATTAAGGGGCAGATGTTCTCAAGTAGTGGCCTGTGTTTTTGCAAGTGTTATTTACTGTTATTTGTACAATGGGTTTCCAGGCTCCTGGGCAGATTAGATTTACCGAGATTTGCATCAAAGGGTGTCTGGTGTGGAGTTAAAGGGAATAACATTGCTTTAGGGTGGTCCAAGCAGTAGCTGGGCTATCCTACTTCAGATGATGCTGCTATTATGGGGAACTTTGCACGGGATCTGCCAGCAGTTGAACCTAAGCCCTGCACAATATGATCAGCCCCCTGTCTTGGCCCTGAAATCTGCCATACGTTAAAAAAATCAGCTCTTATTTTGCTGAAGCCCTTGAAAGGAAACCCTCTAGCCCCTCAGGGAGGGAGCAGTGCTGTTTTACAAAGGGAAAGTAGGGCACATCTCTTACCCCAAAGCAGATAAAACATGCTGTGTACAAGGTGGAGGCCTTGGCCCTGGGTAATGCAGGTTTGATTAAACTGCAGTGCAAGTACAGCTGGTGGTCTCCAGTGGGAGGCTGGCTTCTTGTAGATATATGCCTAATATTTCTAATACAGTAATGTAATTTCCAAAGCGGCAGGAATCCTTCCATCCTACTTCTTCATTTGAACTAGCATCTGCTCTGTTTGCGACAGCTGAGTCGCGCTGGATTGAAGCAAATAGCAAATGCTTGTCATTTCCTCTGCGTGGTAAATATTTCACCAACAGAACAATTAACTCCTTTTAAAAAGTTGTCCTTTGCAGAGAAAGCTGCCTGTGGGGACCCTAAAGGGCCAGCCGTGTGCCTAGCAGTGCCACGGTGCTCATGCTCCCAGCACTGGGGTCAACAGTGGACCTCACTGGGGTAGTTTAAGGCGTTACTGCTCTGGCTGCTGTTTCCTGTTCTGGGAGTTTCAAGGTAATTCTGCCCAGAGCTGGCCCGACTGCTCACCCCACTCGTCCGGGTCCGGAATGAGTAGCCAAATTGTGGGTCACCATGGGGTACCAGCAAGGGTCTCAAAGGCACCAAGTGTAGCTATAGGAAATGGTCTGCAAATATGAGGCGAGCTGGGGCTCTTTTTCTAAACTCAGTTTCTGAAGAGCCTTCCTGTACCTTCAGGCCAACAAGGCACTTCAGTATTTATTTTTATGGCAGTGGAACTTAAGTGTTGGAATGACGAACTCCACTGAACAGGGTGCAGGACAAGCATCAGATATGTGGTTCTTGCCCAAAGTATTAATTAGCTCTTGTTGATTTACCTCTTGACTTCTCCTGAGGATCAAGATCATGGGAAGCAAACTGGCCATTGCCAGTGAGTGGTAAGAAGCAGACCTAACCCTGTCTCTCCTCTTTCCTTTCACGGACAAATCACCTTAAAGCTATGAGAAGGATTACGTCCCTCCCATCAGGTTGTTTTGCTGTGTTCTGCTCAACAAGCCATGCAAAGGCAGAACTGCAAAGCAGACGGTTTTTGCCACCAGCGCCTGCCTCTCCCACTGGCAGTGCTTATATATCTGTGTGTATGAGAGCTTGCATGAGAGCCCGGCACTGTGCTGGGTGTCACGGCACCTCCCTCTGGTCCCCACTGCCTGGGCCCTGTTGGAGAGGTGGCAGATCAAGGGTGCCCAAGCTGAGACACTGGGAAGTCCTCAGTGCTGGTCTGACTCCAGCCCCATCAATCTCTCCAGGAGGAGGAGCAGGATGAGGCCAGCACTGAAAGCTGTAGAACCGCACTCCTAAAGTGCGTGAGGTGTCCCCAAAATGCCTGGCCTGGCCTCACTGACAGATCCTCCTCTCTCTGTGTTCCAGAGTCGTTCACAGCCGACCACAAGCCACTCATGGGCGAAGCCCCAGAAGTCCGAGGCTTCTTCCTCGGCTGTGGCTTCAACAGTGCTGGTAAGAGGAAACCTGAAGAAATCACACCTTGTGCGTCCTAAGCTCTGCAAGCATTTAAATCCCAGGCAGACCCTGAGCAACTAAATGGGGAATTTAGCCTCTTTGCCTGATTTCGATCCTTGTCTCTTTCCCCAGGAATGATGCTTGGAGGTGGCTGTGGGAGGGAACTGGCTCACTGGGTCATCCATGGGCGTCCAGAAAAGGACATGTACAGCTATGACATCAGGTAGGTCCTCCTGGCTCTGCGAGGCTGCTCCAGGGCACGTCTTCCTTCACTGAAATGGGTCCGGGCTGTCTTTGGGGAACAGTTTTGAGGTAGGGCTGGCACTGGAGGCTAGGAGTGGGCTTACCGTAGCCTGTCACCAGAAGTTGGTGCCGAGGGACGGAGGACAGCCCTTCCCCTGCAAGCACGGGGCAGTCTCTGCGCAGCAGCCTTGACTCTCTGAGAAGCTGGAATCAATTACACTTAACAGCTTTAATGAATTTACATGTTGGGTTTATCTCATTTGCCTCATTCCATTTCTGCGCAAACAGCTTCCATCAGACGCAAGGAGATTGTAATGATGAGAAAGGACAGGGTAATTACGTTTGGGTTTTGTTGTTGTTCAATTAGTGCCATGCCTAATCCTCTAAGTTAATAATCAGGGGTGACGATTTCAACTGGAGAAAGATTAGCTTCTCCCCACTCTCTCTGCGGCATGACATAGGTCTGGAGATTTCCAGAGTACAAACGCCGGTTCTGTAATTGCTTTTTACTTTCCCAATTATATTTGATTGAGCTTGGGCTTTCTTATGGGCCTCATAACAATGGCAACAAACTTGGGGACAAAGCTTTTAAAGTTGCATTGCTTTAATAGAAAAGCTGGTAGAGAACCACTGAATTAGCCTGGGAGTCTGGGAAGGAGAGGAGAAATCAGTGCTGTTGCCTGTAGAGGTCAGCAGAAAGACGCCTCCAGTAGCCTTCCTCCGGCTGGCATTGCAGCTAGACCCCTCAGAGACTGACTGTTCCCAGAAAAAAGAAATCACTAGGCTGGGCAGGCACGGCTGCAATGTCAATAGGGGAGGGTTGGCACAACCCAAAGCCGTCGTGAGGCTGATCTGGGCTTTGAAACCCCACTCCCACTCAGGAAGCTGCAGGGGAGCTTTCCAGCCCCTGCGGAGGGGTCAGGATTACCCAAGCGTCTCCAATACCCCATCTCGGAGTTGCAGTGACGTCTCCACACTCATTGTGAGTCCTCCCTCTTCAAAGCATGCTACCAGTGTTAAATCTGAGCAGGTGGCCTGCGAGGCTGGCATTTCCCTCACTGCTGTCTAGCAGATGGAGAAGCTGTGGCCCCGAGGAGGGCTTGGTGACTTGACAAAGGTCACAAGAGGGAGTCTGTGTGGGAGCCAGAACTGTCACATCTTTGTTTTGCCTCCCCTCATTTTCCCCATGATCCTTTTCTCGTGGTTGCAGATAGCAGCCCAGAATTCATCCTAAGCCTCCCAAATAGACCATGCCACGCTTGTACCTCCTAGAGTCTTAATTTCAGTTTCCAGGTGGGGCTGGGTGCCAGCACGTGATGCCTCTTGGGGTCCTGCCCATCAGGAGTAGCTGCGGGGATGTACCCGCTTTTGCCAGCCACCTCCACACTGCTGCTAAATCACCGGGGAGGCAGCCCCAGGGGGACTCCATGCCTCTCTGCAGCTGTCCCCTTGCCAGCCACCTATATTAACTCAACTCGAGTGCTGGCTGATTTTGCTTTACGTTAATGTGCTGGGCTGCAAATGAGGCAGCTGAGGAGCAGCTCTGCAGCTACTACCGTCCTTGCCATGGGCCGGGGAGCTCCAGTGGGAGCTGCTGCCATCTTGATGTCTTGTCGCAACTCCCGTGTCTGCTGCCTTGCTCAGAGTGCTCTATCCGTTTGGGTTTTTGTGTTTCCTGGAGCTCTCCAGCTGATGTCAATCCTCATCATGGGTTGTGGGGTGTTTTTTTTTTTTGGATGATGATGGTTACTGAGCCTCTCTTTAAATAATTCCCTTTTCTGCATATTTAAATATTTATCTCTTCAAAACATTCGCTTGTAAATATTTCTTCTGACAGCTGTTGCTCTTCTCACTGCTGTCAGAAGTGCAGCGTGCTGGGCCGCAGCTGAGGAGGCGAGCGGGGCCATGCCATGCCATGTGTGCTGGGCTGGCAGTGGGGTGGCTGCCCCACGCCGAGTCCGCAGCCATGTGGAGCCCCGCAGAGCTGAGTCCCGCAGAGCTGGCTCGTGAAATGCCCACAGTTACTTTTCAGGCAGTGTTGTTTGTGTTTTGGAGCTCCCAGGTTTTGGGTCGTGCAAGCCCTGGAAGGATTTGACAGTGCAATGTAACCCATGCATCTGTCCTAGCAAAACTAGAATAGTGGCACGTAAGCATCTCTGGTCTCCACTCTATTTTGCCTCTTTGGACATCTCCTGGGAAGCACCAATGCAGCATATCTAGTGGTGGAGCAAATCTCAGCTGAGGTGGGGGGAGAAAACCCCTCTTGGCCGCCCCTATGAAGAGGGCAGCGGGTGGATGGAGCGGGGAGATGCTGAGCTGGGCTTTCTGCACAGCCTGCCCTGCTGCTGCCATCCGCTGCTCTCCAAGTGCCCTGCATCTCCTCGGCATGCAGAAAGCGGGGAAGAAGGTTGAAAGTATCATTTTAAAAGGCCCTATAATTATACTGTCTTGCCTTTCATCTGATCTCTGGCTTCCTTTCTGCAGACCTGGGGGCTCTGGGCTGGATGGGAGCCCACCATAATGCTGAAAGCCACTTGCCCCTGCTTGCCAGAGGCAGCGGATGGGAGAGGTGCCACCAGTGCGCGCAAGAGGTTGTTGTCCATGAGTTATAGGTCTCTGGTAATAATAATAGGAGCATGTGCTGAACCGGCACATTCCTTCAAGGAGCTTTTCTGTTTGAAAGATGAAAATATGTCGAACAAATTTAAAATGCTTCGGTTTTTATTTATATTGCAGTCTAGGGAGATTTGGATGAAAAATGTAAAGAATGTTCACGGCTCTTTCCTTTCTCAGGGCCACGTTTAAAGCAGGGTTGTGCAAAAGGAGCGCTCTGAGGCCAGCCTGACACTGAAGCGGAGTGGAATTAACCCAAATTCTCCTCTTCCCCCCACCCGATAGGACCATATTCTGCTCTCAGTTATGCTGGGGTAAATCCACATAACTCAGGGCAGCAGAGTGCGGTCTGGGCAGTGCAGAGAGCCCCTGGTCGGGAGGCCAGGGCCATCAGTACGCGCGGGGCCACAGGTTGGTGGATGCATGCCTCTCTCTCTGCCTTCCAGGCGCTTTCCCCACTCTCTCACTGACAACAATCGCTGGCTGCGCGAGCGAAGCCATGAGTCCTACGCCAAGAACTACTCCGTGGTCTTCCCCTATGACGAGCCCCTGGCAGGACGCAACATGAGGAAAGACCCCCTGCATGAGGTGAGGTGCTCCCCAAAGCAGTGCGCCGCCTCCAAAGCGCCATCCACCCATGCTGGGAGGGATCCCCGCAGTGGGTGAGCATTTTCAATATATGATGCTTAAATGCAAAGCTGGATTTTCAGTGGTTTTGCAGGTGGGCAGCGTTGCAGCTACTGCTGCTCAGAGCTGCCTACAACACCCCGCTCCTGCTGGCGACTCGAAGGTGACCTGAGGGCTGGCTCCATGTCTTGCCCAACTGCTGCGAATCAAAGAAACTCCATTTACCTTCCCGCCACTGCAAAGAAGGAACTGAGTTTCCTGAGCCTGTTTCAGCTCATTGCTAATTCAGATCACGCCACTTCTCTGCCGATGGAGAACAGAGACTTAAGCAGTAAAACAGACATTCCTCCCTGCCCTCCCCCATTGTTTGCTTGACAGCTCAGTTGTTTTCTGTCACTGAGGATGCAATTTATTTTTTAATAGAATGTCTAATAAGCGATGCCCATTTGACTGACAGCCTGGTATCTATACATGAAGCTCCAGAACATGTGCTACGTTTTATAAATAGACACTGAATCATTTCTAAAACATTCAACAAAATCTATTCTTTTCTGAACAGAGGCACCAAACAAAAATATCTTAATGGATCCCTAATTAATTGCATGCAGAGATATTTGCCTGAGAACACAGAGGAGGAATGAAAAGGTTGCCATATAAATCTTAAGTGTTATTATGTAATTACTGTTAAAAACATCGGGGAGAATCTTTCTCTCTGGATTCAAGATCTTTTGATCACTAGTGTCTCAAAACACAAACTTCAGGGCAGTGCACAACTGACCTGTGGGACTTCTTGCTGTTGGATCTCGCTGTTAAGGCAAATGCCTTTGTTTGGTGGACAAAAATATTAGGGATTTCACGGGAGCTGGTATTTTCCACTATTTTGAAAAACAAATCACAGAACTCATTTCTGCTACTGCCCTCCCTTCTTGCCGCTTGGCTGCTGATAGCCAAAGCGTCAAGAATCTGGTCTTGCGCGTGCATTTAAGGAGGGCAGCCTCAGCAGAATGGAAATGACTCAACGCAAAGATTTTAATTTTTTTTTCTTGTTGTTCCTATTTCTTTGGCATCATCTTACTTAGGAGCTGCTGCAACAAGGCTGTGTTTTCCAGGAGAGGCATGGCTGGGAGAGGCCTGGCTGGTTCAACCCCAAGGGAGCAGCTCCGGTAAGGACAGCACACACTTTTGGAGAGGATTTTCAGCCTGTGCCCTGCACAGGTCCTCGAGGGTATAGGATGTGCACTGTGCGTGTGGGTTGTGCACTGCATGTGCGGGCAGCACACTGCGCTGTCTTTCCAGGCGCGGTAGGAATGCAGCTGAAATCTCCAGCTGCCTTTTGCAGCTGCTTGGCTTTGGCCATGCGCCACTTTCCTCGCTACCCCCCGTCCTGCCCGCTTCTCTTCCCAGGTCCTGGATTACGACTACTATGGGGCTTACAAGCAGCAGCGTCACGACAACTACACGTACAACCAGCTGCTGGGGGACGAGTACACCTTCGACTTCCCCCCCCATCACCACATTGTGAGTGGGGCCTGCCAGGGAGGCAAGGGGTCATTTGGGACTGGCAAGGGACTCCTGGGGGGCAGACCCTGGTCGTGAGCAGCAGCATGGCGCTGTCAGCCTGGCCCACATTGGGGGCATAGCCTGCCCCCACACTCAGGCCCCAGTATGTCCACGGAGAGCACCAGGGCTGGGGCACCTGTCTGAAACCTCTGTGCACATCCGGGCTAGGAAAATCAGTGACATCAGAGCCAGTACAAGCAGCTTTGGGTCTAGAAAACCCAGTCGGTGAGGTTTAGAGGAACTTGAAACCAAGGGAGCTTTGCCCATCTTTCACTGGGAAAAGTGTTCCGAAAGGATTAGGAGAAAAGGGCGGTCCGTGCTTGGAAACATCAACAGAGGAATTTTATGTGGAATTTTAGTGTTGTTTTCCCAAATGAAAGAGTAGACACCAGCTTGAGGGAAGTTCAGATATGTCTGCAGAACGAGTGTGTGTGTTCCCTCCAGCAGAGTTAAACAGAGAGTTCTCCCAGAGCTGCACTGGCTCCCTGCTCCCCTGTGGAGCTGCCAGCCGGAAAATCAGCCCTGGCGCAGTCTGAAATGGGAGAAGACGCACCCAGCTTGATAAGCTTTAACTATCACTATTGATAACTACCATGTGTTACTGCTGTAAAGAATGGGATTGGACAGACAGACAGCGCTGTCTTGTTGTCAGATTCGCTACATTTGTTTGTCATTACGTACATGGTTTAATGTGTCTCTCCCTTTTAGAGTGAGAAGGAGATGGCTCAACTTCAGTGATGTATTTGCTTTAATTTTAGATCAAGAATGAATGTCTAACGTGCAGAAATGCCCTGGCTCTCTTTGACTTGTCTTATTTTGGGAAATTCTACCTGGTTGGTCCTGAAGCGACAAAAGCGGCCAACTGGCTTTTTACTGCCGATGTTAGCAAAGCACCAGGTACTGGCTCAACCTTGCTATTTCAGCTTCAGAGTGCCAGGGATTTTACTGATGTTTCTGCTGAGCATGGGACTGAAAGGCTGCCCTAGGAGATTATATCTGTAACTAAAACAAATTGTGGGTGACCCAACCTGGCTTTTGTTGTAAATGTTGCTTTTGCAGAGGATGTGGGAAGCAGCCGAGAGCGACCATTTTCCCTGTCCTCTCCAAAAGCTGTATTTTACTCTCAGTCACATTGGTGCCAACCTTCTCCTGCACCTGGGGCGAGAGAGGGGAGTGTCTGTGCACCAGAGCCCAGCTGCCAGTTCACAGCTGGAGAAATGAATGTCCTGGGGTAAATAGAGGTGACATCTAGCAGACAGCAGTTTCATCAGGCAGGGACAGGACAGTGCGCTAGGACCAATTCTGAGCTCTCTTGCCCTAGCACGAATTGAAGTAACTCCCGAAGTCCACGAGAGTAACGAATATAAGGTAGCAGGAGAGGAGGATTGACCACGCTCTGCTGCTGCTCCTCCTTGGAGTGAGCTGGGGGCAGAGCCAGGCCCTCAGCCGGAGTGAGCTGCTGTGCATACACGAGCTCCCATGGCCCTGAACAGGGTGTTATACCTGTGCATCGTCTGCCTCTTGAATCTCTCCATCTGGAGCTTAAAGTCTAAAGCTCCTTGCTGCCACCCAACAGATCCGCTCTTCTCTGCACGTCCCAGTTCTCACAGCTTCGTGTGTGTGAACGTTTCTTGCCGGTGTTTGCAGGTGAGAAGCTGGCCCTCTTCGTTCGGGCTACGAGGTAGTTGGTTAAGACGTTCCTAAGGAAGTAGCTTCAAATCCTCAATAGATCTCAAGGGGAAAAAGAGTTGCTGCTGTTTCCTTTCTGGCCCTGGGAAACCCAGGGTAGGTCACATCATAGCCAAGCAGCGGCAAGTGATTTAGTGACCATGAAAACATTCATCCTGCCTGCCCTGCTTTCCCCAGCGCCATTTGCTCGGTGCCCTGGGGCATCTGATCTGCAGCGGGTGTCCGTCTCTCCTTCTGCTCCTAGGCTCGACTGTGTACACCTGCATGCTGAACAGGCGAGGGGGTGTGGAGAGCGACCTGACCGTCAGCCGGATCAGCCCCGGGAGCCCAGCCTCCCCTCTGGCCCCTGCCTTCGAAGGTAAAACCCTGAGCACAGGAGGGACTTCGCTGCCTCCGCCTGCTGGAAGCAGAAAGCGTTTCTGCAGTGGACATGGGGGTGAAGGGGGAATCTCCAGTTGGGTTTACCTTCCCACTGCCATTTCAGGAATGGCTTGGCACTCTGCCTGCCATGTGCTGTGGGGCTGGACCCCATGTGAGCACTGTCTTGTGCCAGGGAGAACATCCTGCCCCATGCTCACCCCTGCTGACAGTTCAGGGGCTGCAACGCCAGTGCATCAGTGCCTTGTTTACTAACTCTTTAGCTGTGTCAGTGCATGAAAAGGCATTTCAGGTCACGGTGCCCCCCAGCCTCTTTGGCTGAGCTGAGGGAAATCAAACGTAGCAGCAAGGCAGAACCAGGGATCCTTCATGTCATATTTCACATCTCTCCTTAATGAAGCCTCAAACCCTTAGCTAAAAAGCAAGTTGACTCAGCTTAAGTAGCTGATTGTCAGGGGGGAGAACAGCACGAGTGTGAGTGGTGTTTGTGCCTGAAATCCGCTTTATGCTCGATGCCCACCCAGGAGCCAGTTGTGTGGCTCTGGGACATCCCCCATCTAGGATGCTCCCAGCTGTCTTTCAGCCTTGGGGACGAGAAACCGTGGCTGCAGGTTTAGTTTGAGCCCTGCCAACGTCTCTTTAACCTTCACCACCCTTGGAAGTGAACCGTGCTTCTGTTGGCCTTGGTCAGCGCATGTGGGGGCTGATTGCATTACCTGCTCCTAGCCACCTGGCTTTTTCCCCCTACACCCCCCTTGGTCCATGTAATGTGATTATCCCCTTTCTCCTGGGGGCTTATGCTCTAACCAGGTTCTCACTGGCGTTATTGGGTTTCTTAAGCTCTGGAAGGCTGCTCTGGCCTCTCCCAAAGTCCTTATCAGCTGCAATAAAGAGGAATTAAAAGGAAGCAGAGCAGTCAACCCAGAGGGCAAAAATGGAATTAGGAAGCAATAGTGGAGGAGGGCTTTGTGCTTGTCTCCAGCAGCGCTGCCAAATGGCTTTGCCTCGCAGTGATGGGTGTCTGCTGGTGCTACCGCTCCCCCAGGGAAACCAGCACTTCTTGGGGGAGGAAGGAACACAGGAAGGAAGGTTTTAACTTAGATGTTGAATGCAAGCAACAGCCCTGTTCCCACACAGTGTCACCCTGAGATTTGCTGCTTAGGAGCAGCCTGGGGAAGAGAGCAGCCCGGAGCACGGGGTGCCGGCTAGGGGACCGGCGGCAGACGGTGCAGGATTCTAGGTGGGATCTCTCCGCAGCACCAGCCTGCCTTTCCCCTACTTGGGCTTGTGCTGTGCAGCTCTTCCCCTCCCGCGGGCAAAGGCAGCATCCCTCTCCTCTCTTGCTCGCAGACATGCACACGCATTGAGCAGGAAGTATGAAGGGAAGCGGATAGCAGAGCTGCAGTGTTTGATGGGTGATGGAGGAGTTTAATAAAAGCAGATCTATTTTTTCAATTATAGTAGGTGGCTGCACTTATTATCATTATGACAGATTATTGGAGAGCAATTTGGTAGTGGCAGAAAAGGCAGAGGTAAGATCGATTATGTATTAATCAGCTCCCTAACCCTGTCCCTGGGTATTTCTCACCCAGAATTACTGACGAGATGAATTCCCTGTCATATACACATGCCGCGCTCACACTGCTAGTGGCCTGATCTCTCCACTCCTCCCTTTCTCTTGTATATATAGCAACTTCTACATGAGCTGTCCTGGTGAGGACTGGGAGTATCTCTCACTTAGCCCGACAGCAGGGATGTTGGCTGCAGCATATACACCTGCATGCACATGTCTGCAGGCTGCTCTGACTTATAGTTCTTCACTCCCTTAACACTTTGATATCAATTCTATATTAGGACAAAATATTGGAAGCTTTTGCAGTTGGTCTTGAGGGACAAAGAGTTTTCTCCTTCAGATCCTGCAAATCAAAGGAGCAATCCTTGATGCTGTTGGCAAACCTGTGTGTGGAAATATTGCACACAGGCATCTTTAAGGCTTGGCGAATTGGGAAAAGCTCCTCTAGGAGGAAAGCAAGGCTGATGTAGGCAGCGTCTACAAGCCACGCCATGGAAGTCAGGGAAGCTGTATGCAAAGAAAAACAAGTGTAGTGTTATGCAAGCCTGCCGTGGCTGTGGCCGTAGCCAAGGCAGAGGCAGCAAGCACTTGCATAACACTACCTTTGACATTAACTTATTGGAGCTCCTTGCATAACAGCAGAGCAATAAACCCTGAGGGGAAGAGCTTTCTGATCTGACTGTCAGAAGTTGTGCTTTTTCTCAAGACAGAGGTAAAGGCTGCTTCTCTGCTGGCCCCCAGCAGCACGGCCCCCAGAGGCTGGTGCAGTGCAGGTAGGGAGAGCCGTTCCCGCTCTCTGGGTGTGAGCAGGATGAAACTGTGCCTTTGCATGGCCCCAAATCCCAGCTTACCTTTTCTCTTTCAGGTTTTAAAGGTCACTTGATTTTCAGTTTGCTGGCTGAGCCCCACAAGTAAAAGTGTGGAAGTTAGCAGAAACCCCAAAGCCCTCTCTTCCCCCGGTGTTATTTAGTCCTTCCACACCCTAAACCCGCCAAGGTGATGGCCTTGCCCTGCGTTTCTATCACCTCTTCCAGGAATGGAGGGCACGTGGTGCTTTGCAGGATCAAGCCCATGGGCTCGCCTGAGGAAGGACTGTAGGATTTTCCCCTTTCTTTGAGGTTCCCTGTGGGCCGTGCAAGCTCGAGAGACTCAGAGCTGCAGCTCAGCCTCTGGAGAGCAAAACCAGCCAGGAGCTGAGCTGAGCATCGCCCCCAGCCCAATTCTGTCAGGCCTAAAAGGCTGCGGGTCGTCTTCCAGGAGACGGCTACTACCTGGCTGTCGGTGGGGCCGTGGCGCAGCACAACTGGTCACACATCACCACGGTGCTGCAGGACATGAAGCTGCAGTGCAAGCTCCTCGACTGCTCGGAGGAGCTGGGCATGCTGAGCCTGCAGGGCCCACTGAGGTGAGCGCGGGCAGAGCAGCACCCGGTTTTCCTCATCCCACGGCGGGGAGGGATGGTGGAGGGAAGACCTGTGGGGGAGCTGAGTGCTGCGTGTGCCTGTGCAACCCGACAAGCACACAGGGTTTGGTGGGGAGAGGGGCCCATGGGAGGGAAGGGAGCAGATGGCGACCGTTAGCGGGAGAAATGACAGTTGGTGAACCAAACGTGTGCGGGTTCCTGTGCTCCCTCAGAGCTGGTACAGTCTCCTCTACAGGGGTGTAATTTTCCCCTGGTTTTGTTCATGCACTTGCTTGCATTCAGGGGAATGCGTCCATGTCCCTGTTTTGGGCAGTAAGTCAATCCCCATCCACAGCACCTCCTCTTGGGTCGAGGCACATCTCTAAATTCCCCTCCTACAGAGCCCTCTGCCAGGGCAGCCTCATCTTGTGAGCCTCGTTAATGCATTAATTCACAGAGCTGGGGAACCACCCTCCCGAGGCAGGTTTCCAGTTTTGCAAACATTTCGGGCAGCAGGACAAACCCTTCGAGCCCTCCTCTCGCCTCCTCCACCCGTGCCGGCTGGGCAGAGGGAGGGGCAGGGGAGCCCCTTCCTTCCCCGCTGCCGGTGCTGGGAGGGAGAGGTGGAGAGAGAGCCCGGGGCTCTGCGTGGGGCATGGGGTTTTGGGAATAAATGCCAGGATCTAGCTAGTGAGTGACATCCTTTCACCGCAGCTGCTTTGTCGTTTCCCCACAGCCGCGCAGTGCTCCAGGACGTGCTCGACACTGATCTCAGCAACGAGGCCTTCCCCTTCTCCACCCACAAGCTGGCAAAGGCGGCGGGATGCATGGTAAGAGGAAAACATGGGTCCCCAGCGCTCATCTTCCCGCGGGACGCTGTGCCTCTGGGATGTTTACTTGCTGGGACCACCATCCCCTTGTGCTTCTAAAACCAGGCACCTTCCCTGAGGGAGACGTAGTGCCTCCCTATTTCTGCACGGGGCGACTGGGAGGTTTTGTTGGTTTTTTTGGAAGCCTGGGAGTTAGTTTATCCTAATTTGGGGATAAAATAGGTCTTAAAATTCCCAAGGTTTCTGTAGAAAAGAAGCTTAATTTTCCAACTATCCCTGCTTTAAGGCGACCAGAGGTGCGAGAAGAGCTATGTTGGGTTTTTTTAGATGGAGACATGCATCTCCTGGGTAACGCGTGTCTGAGCAGTGCGATGATAGTTTGCAGAACCTATGAGGGTCATCATAGGTCAGATGCCCTGGCGTGGCATCTGAGCCGTCAGAGCCCTGGGCCTGTCATCTACACGTGGCTTTCGGGCAGTTTTTCAAGGACCTCGTGATGGGTTCTGGTGAAAGAAAAGCCTTCAGGCTTTTTAGACAACCCGAAGGGTTGTCTAAACGAACGAAGGACAAACGAAGGGTTTGTCCTTTTAGCCTTTAGGCTCTGGTCTCTTTAGATCAGAGCAGGAGTGTGGTGTGTTCCTGCCCTGTTGCCTTCTCTTTGCTTTCCTAGCCTGCCTGGCTGCTTTGTAGCTGAGCCCACTCCGAGCTTCGGGAAGGAGCTCAAAGTTATCTGTGTGTTGAGTCTCTGTGGGCACATCAATTTGCAGCTTTGCAGTGGTGTTGGAGGAATGAAAGGCCTCCTGCAGATTAGGGGCTAGCTCTGATGGCAGAGATTTATTTGACACTCTAGATCCCCTCCCCGTCTCCCCACCTGTATAGAGGAGGGACGATTAGAAGTAAAATGTGTCATGTAGTCCCTGTAAGGGCTCGGGAGCCTGAGGAGCCGGTGTGTTTGATCACAGGAGAAGTCTGACAACCTTAAGCTTTCTGTACAAGTGCAGATCATCTTGCATTTGCTGAGACTTTAGGACTCACGTCACTGGTTATGTAAGAGGAGTGCAGAAACGGTAATGCGCCATGCTAATACTGAGGGCTAAGCCACTCTGCGTCTGAGGAAGGCAGCAAGTCTACTTTCAGGAGTGAGGTGAAAATCCACCGCTCTTGCCCGGTTTTGCCACCTGGGAAAGCGTTGCAGCTGGCGGGCTGTCGTCCAGCTCCTGCACACAGGGCAAGGTGCCCAGGCACCTCTGACAGGCCTCGTGCATCGGCCCGACCCTGCTGTGATGGGCTTAGGTCGTGGCGTGCCGTTGCTCAGCGGCCTTGAGAAAGGGAGGCTTGGCTTAAAGCACACGGCTGGGTTGCAAAGAGACGAATCTGTGCTCTGAGATTTCACAGCTCTGGTTGATTGGGCTCTTCCTTCTCACCCAGTGCTGTGCAGCGAGAAAAGCGCCTGAAGTCTCTTCCCTCCTCTCGCCTGACAGGAATAAATGTTGTCTGAAGTTATCCCTAGGGAAAGGGGGTGGTGGTGGTGGTGGTTGTTGGTGTTTTTTGTTTTCCGCATGTGTGAGGCTGCTGATTTAGCTGGTTAAAACACCCTAAATAGAAGAGTCTTTGACCGTGAAGTGTTGTTTTGTCAACATAGAAACATTCTGGAAGAGCTTGCTATTGTTAAATTCTAATATTAGCGAAAAAAGTTTTGCAAGGGTTGGACGATGAGCTTTGCCTTGGCTTCCTACTGTTGTTTGCACCATAGTAAATATTACTTTTTATGTTCTGTAGCAAAAACATCTCTTTGGGAGAGGGCTGTGATTTTTTACCCCTGCCTTCCCAAGGGAAATTTATGATGGTAGCAGTATCAGCATAGTTACGGGGCAACAATTTCCAGCTGAAGCGGGTGGAAAAAAAGGAAGGTTTTGGATTTTGAGCAGCTTGCAAAAGTCTCAATCGTGTACTGCACGTAGCAGTTTTTCTGATGCAGATGAGATGTTTGGGGGAGCCGGGACATCCTGGCCAGGCGCAGAGCCCCAGGTCCTCCCTCCCTTCCACCTCCGGTCGACAGGACGCTGGCTCAGCTGCTCCCAGCGGCACGTGCTGCTGCCGGCGGGCAAAGACTGTGGTGCCCCGCGCCCCTGTGTGCCGGGAATCACCGTAAGGTGGCACGCAGAGATTTACTTTTCCCCCTCAAATGAGTGCAAGGCTGTGACGGGGAAGAGCAGTGCGTGCCTGGAGAGGAGCGTGGTTTTGATAAGTCTAATCGGTCGTTACAGATTGCCCAACGTGCTGCAAATAATAGTTTCTGCTGATGAGTTTATAATCCTCCCTAGGCACTCACATCTGTGACAAGCTGATAACATCTGTTAATAACCTACTTATTCCCTATGAAAGGTATATAAATGCTCCCTTCTTCAAGAGTGTGATTATTTCATTTGCATTTCACTTCAAGTTTGTATAAAAAAAAAAGTTTGCAAGAAGGAAATATCCGGTAGAAATGTTATAGTTTGAGTGTAAATGCCTAAATGCCCTGACCGTCAGAGAAAAGCTTTCTTCCCTTCACACAAAGAGACAACACCGAATTGCAGATGACTGAGTTGAAACTGAGAGGGAAATTAAGGTGAATTTTCAGGGTGGTTTTTTTTTTTTTTTCAAAATGAGCCATTTTATTCCAACACAAAATTAAAGCAAAAGCCAAAGTGTTTATGTGAAACAAATCCCAGGGCTGCAAAGTATAGGATTTTCTTTCTTTTCCCCAAAAAAATTCTACAAAAAAGGTGAGCTCTTCTCAAATAGCTTTATTGAGGTACTTTATAGTACTTACTTCAAACCAGTCACCCCCATATCCCTGAAGGTAGCCTGCTCAGCATGGAGGAGAATTATTCAGTCAATTTATTTCAGCATTTCTGCAATTTTAATAATGTGCCAGATGCTCTTTGGAAGGATTAAAGGTTCTCCCCAGGCAGGGTTGCTGCCCGCAGACCCGCAGCAGCCAGGGCACTCACTGGTCCTGCCGCTCCCGGCTGGGATTCGCCTCCCTCTGCAGCTGAAGCAGAGGCCAGGAGATGGGTCATTGGCTGAGGGCATGGGAAGACCAGGGTCAGATGTGCAGTTAGATGTTGTTCGTTTGCAACACCTGGTCCTGTGTTCAAACCTTGCTTGCATAAAATTTCCAGTTTGCACCCGGTATCTAAGCAGGAAAACCTTGGGGGAAGAACAACCCCCAGGGCTGACATGTGCAATCAGGCAGGAAGGACACAGGGTACAGTATTACTGAACAGTGCATGTCTATGCAGGGAAGAAGGGGATAAACAAGAAGTCCGGGTGCATCAGAGCATCAAGCAGCCTTTTCGCTCCTGCCAGGCCATGCGTCCCTGCAGGGAAAGCCTGGCAGCGTTAGCATCTGTAAAACTCCACTTTTGCAAACACAAAAAACCTTCTTGACTTGTGACTTATGCGGGGAATCTTCCCTTGCCTGAGCTGCCAAACAACATGATGAGGAAAGGAAGAAAGCCGGCTCCTGCCACTGCAGAGCACCATGCTCTCGGCAGCACGCAGGGCTCCCCATGGCTGCTTGACGGGGGATGAAAGGGGAGGAATTCGTTACGTGTGAAAACTAGAGCAGCAGGGTTTCTCAGGCCGCTGGACTGAAGCCATCCCTGATGTCATCCCGATGCCTTTCATTGGGATTAAGCTGAACCCAGCATCTTTAAAAAGATATTGCTAGGTTTTCATGTATTAACTCAGTAGTTGAACAAAATCAGCTAAAGTAAAAGGAGAATTCCAGCGGAGTTAATGACGCTGGAAATTACTGATTCGTTTGTGAGTTTATATATAGCATATTGCTTTGTATGAAGTATCAGAGAAAGAAACCTATTTGAATTTCACTGCTGGATACAGAGTGAAGTTCAGGTTTTCATTTTCTAATATACTTAAAATGCTTTTGAATTGCTGCTCAAAGGCTGGGGAATTTATGCTGTTTTATAATTCCATTTGAAATCTAATGGAAATACCTGCTCCTAAGAGAATTTGGCTCCAGAGGGTCAAAACCTGGCAGGAAAGGCTGAGTCCAGCTGTTGACGCTCTCCTCACTTTGCTAGCCCTTTTCTGCAGGGTTCACACCATGGATTTGGATAGGCACACATAGGTGCAACCTCCAACCCCTGACTGTACAAAACTTCGTACTGCGTTTTCAGAGGATATATGTGTTATACGACACACTGATCTGCTTCATCACAACTGCGGGATGTTCGGTCCCCCGAGAGGCAGTGATTTGAGGGGACGCCTCTCTCCTGAGGAACTTGCTCTTGACAATAAAGTGTGTTTTAGCTGCAGCACTGCCTGCTCAGTCACAGGTAGGGTTAATGGACCATGGAGTTCACTGTCAATCCCCAGAGCATCTCCTGCCGCGATTAATACGGTAGCTGGCTGCCACGTCTTGATCTCTCGCTGTTCCCTAATTAGGTGACACCTTTGTGCAAAGTGAAAAGCTTTCCCGTATCCCTCGTGCTTGCGCACCTCCTGAGTCGATTTTCCAGCTTTCATGCTTCGTTGCGCCGCTGTGACGATGGTTGAAGGAAGGCTGGCTCCCTCGGCACGGCTCTATTGTGAGGAGGCTCAAAATAAATTCACAATACCTATTATGTTTCTTCTCCCCCTGTCTTCTCTCCAGTTCTATTGTTGTAAAGGTTAAAACGTCTTAAAAGCTACCTTAAACTCTGCTTGAGCGCACTTTTATTTTAGCAATGTCTTTCGAGCGCAGGGTGTTGGCAGCGTGGGGGGATGTTCCAATCGATTTTGGGCGAAGCTTTCTGATTGCAGTTTATTGCCCTGCTGGCAATCCTCTCAGCAGGCTCCTGACAACAGCTTGCCAAAAAGACCTGTGAGGTGGTTGGGTTATTGCTCTTTATTCCTGGTACTAGGTGAGAAGTGAACTGAGGCTTCTGTAAAGGAAAGGGCACCTCGAGGGGTCCGTGTTGGGACTAGCACCTGGCATCACCACCGAGTCC